CAAAAAAAAAAAAAAAAAGCAAATTTAAGTTACAGATTTTCTTCCCACTCCCTCCACCCCCCACAAGGGATCTTAAAGAACACAAGTGATTCCATTAAATCAGGAAGCTCTGTGCCCTGGAGCCATGTGGGAAATGGATCCAAGAGGCCTCCTGGGGGAGTCTGGGAGGGATCCCAAGATCGCAGCAGCATCAGCAACCCCTGGATGCCACCGTGGGTGGTAGCTCCATTGTAATTTCAGTTTCCCTTTCCAGGAAGAAAACACAGATGTGCTTCCTTGTCAGTCCAACAAATGGCCTCAAGTCCTTAAGTTCCTCATTAATTAATATGAAGACACATTTGGTGACTAAATTTGGAATCAGAGGCTTTTAAAGGTGAATCTCAGCTCTTACTGCTTTGCTTTTCCCTGTTTGGGGGTAAGAGTGGCAGCTGGGGGCTGAGTGTGGTGGCTCATGCCTGTAATCCAGCACTCAGGGGAGGCCAAGGGGAGTGGATCACTTGAGGTAAGGATTTTGAGACCAGCCTGGGCAACATGGTAAAACCCCTTCTCCACAAAAATACAAAATTTAGCCAGCCATGGTGGCTCCTGTCTAGAGTCCCAGCTTCTTGGAGACTGAGGTGGGAGGATCACATGAACCCGGGAGGCGGAGATTGATTGCAGTGAGTTGAGATCGCACCACTGCACTCCAGCCTGGGTGGCAAGAGCAAGACAAAAAAACAGACCCAGCACATACGGTAACATACGTAGTTGGCCGGGCACAGTACCTGCCACCTGTCATCCCAGCACTTTGGGAAGCCGAGGCGGGCGGATCACAAGGTCAGGAGTTTGAGACCAGCCTGGCCAACATAGTGAAACCCCATCTCTACTAAAAATACAAAAAATTAGCCGGGCATGGTGTCGGGCGCCTGTAATCCCATCTACTTGGGATGTTGAGGCAGGAGAATCGCTTGAACCAGGGAGGTGGAGGTTGCAGTGAGCCCAGATCGCACCATTGCACTCCAGCCTGGGCGACAGAGTGAGACTCTGTCTCAAAAAAGAAAAAAAAAAAAATCTGCCCTCAGACTCAGGGCAGCATCTCTCCACAGAACTTCTCAGGGCGTGAAGACCTCACGCTTGGAAGTCAGGTCTGCTTCTTAGCAGCCAGGTTTCAGTGACCCCAGCTGTTCCCATGCCTGTCCCACAAGATCACACCCTTGGCTCCTGCACAGTAGGGCCCTGGTCACTCCAAACACTGACCCACACGGGCGCCCTCGTCCCTTCTCCCCTCCAGACACCATTAGGTTGAACCCTCTCAAACGCCAAAGAAGCAGACCAGGTGTGCTGCCTTCTTGGGGACTAGCCTGGTGCCCTGGAGTCACATTAGACACCCTAGTTCCCTTGAATCCACAGAACT